ATCTCACATCCAATGCTTTGTCCTCCTCCTAGTCCCCCTCCGCCCCGCCCTCTGTTTCTACGTTGCGAGGACGCACCTTCCAGGAGGGGGGAGTAATGTAACGCCCCTGTGGACTGTTTGTGGTTTCTTCCCCTTTTGTTGGTTTAGCCCATACTATCATTAGTTAATTACCCTCATTGTGATCACCTGTCTGCCACTAATTATCCACCCTATATTAGTTCCTGTCTGTCCGAACCTTAGTGGTCGGTTATTGTGAATGTTACCCTGAGTGTGTGTCTCACCTTCCTGAATCTGCCTTGTTGTGGCTACATTAAAAGTAATTATTGGAATCCTTGTCGTCCTCGTCCTGCCTGCCTCCACACACCGTGAACGTGACAGAATCTCAGGAAAACATGTCCAGGTCACCAAAAAATTAAAATAATCATCATATTTAATCACAATATTCACAATTGTAAATATATCTATATAACAAAATGAAAACATATCCAGGTCACACAAAAAAAAAAATGAAGTCACAATAATTCACAATTATAAATATATATCAATATAAACATTCACGTTTCTAAATATATGTCAAGTTTTTAACTTTTCATTCAAAAATAAAAACGAATACATTTCTTAAAAATGAAACAATGATATTTTGAAAATGAGCAAAAATTAAATGTGGGATTTCCACAAACAAGAAAATAGGGCTGACAATTAAAAAATGTAAATTAAAAAAGGGGATTAGAATTAATCATATTAATCACACTAATTCACAATTCTAAATACTTGTCTAAATAAATAAAATGTATTTTAATTTTTAAATATAAAAACAATCATATTTAAATATTACATTAAATACTAAATTAGCATTTTTCATTAGCATAAATTAAATGTGTACAAATACACTTGTAGTATTTGTTGTTTCTCCGCAACAAATACTACAAGCGTGTATAAATTACGGCTGCCAATTGACTCAAAATTTTAAATTATTTACAAAACTTGAGAATTAATCATTAATTGCAATTATTTGCAATACTAAATATATTAACTTAAGTACATGAATATAATTTGTTTAAAAATGTAAAGATTTAAATTATTACAGTAAAAACAAACTACTAATGTGTCTAAATTAGGGCTGACAATCAATTGAAAATCTTAAATGATTTACAAAACTTGAGAATTATTTGAGTTAAACTGACAACCCTGGTATAAATACTACTAAAATGATTATTATTATTATTATTATTATTATATGGTGTAAAAATAGGTTTTGTTTCCTTTAAGAACTTTTTTTTAGACATCACAATCATCAGTATCACATCTTGGTAAAGCCTTCTGTACACACTATTGCCTTCTGCATTTGCGGTGTGGAGTCATGTTTGCGATAAAATCAATTTTATTTTATAGAGCGCAACAAACAGACACTTAATCTGATTTATAAACAAGTTCAGCGGCACTGACTACTTTTTTGACGTCTGGTGACAGAGAGTTTGGCTAGGCAACAAGCAATCAAATGAAAACCAGACTTTTGCTCCATTAAACACAACTCTGAAATGGAACAGCGCACGAATTAAACCAAAGTCTGGCTATGATATGCAGGACACGGTCCTGAATTAAGGATATTAAACATTTCAAATCGAAAAAATAAGCATCAACAGAGCAGAAATACACAACCTTGCTTGCAATGTAAAGACCAAATCAAAACTACTGTCATTTTTCCAGCAAGAGGAACTCACTGTGTGTATTCGCCGTTAATTTGAGAGCGGTTAGGTTTGGGTACTTAATTAAAGTAGACGAGAGGGAAGCGTTGTGTTTATTGTTGAAGGCTTAGGTTAATGCAGTTCATCTACTGGCTGTTGGTCTTTCCAGCCTCATTTTCTTCCTCTTCCGAGTTTATTTCTTTCCGTGGTACAAAGGTCTTTCGGATGAACCTGAGAAAGTTTGCGCATTTCGTTCTCCTTCTGTCTTTGGTTTAGACACGTTCAGATTATAACAAGATGTTTTAAGAGCTTTATTTTTCTGAGGATCACATTATAACAATGGGAACAAGACAAATAAATATGCTCTTAGTTTAAGCTGAATTACTGTTTGCAGTTAAATCAAGATCCTTAAGCAATTTGTTATAATTTCTGTCACTGGATTTGATAATTTGTACATGTTTGTGTATCTGGTCAAAATTAAAACATCAATATAAACTAAGCTCAATTTGTTAGGCCTTAGGAAATATTGGGATTATTAAATAGGTAATATTAAGCTTGAAAACCAAGTCAAAGTTTAAAAATTTAAATGAAACCTTACCAAAAGAAACTAAAATTAGTTACTGCTAATACTAATAGCATGTTCCTAAGTATTTATGCTACTTTCGGGGTGGGCGATATACCAGTAGACATGATTAACCGGTAGAAATTTGTCAACTGGTATAGATTTTGGACTATCGTATCTATCACACGCTCTACGTGGTCATTTGCACGTTTTTAAGCATTGTTGTTTAAAAACCAAGTGATTTTAAGCTGTTGAAACGCAATCAGCAGCGAAAGAAAACTCATTTCACTACATGTGCACAAGGGAGTACTGGGAGTTATTTTTACCACTTTATAGGCCTTGAGCAGTTAAATACACACACTTGTTTGTGTCAAAATGCCTGTCTTTGCAAGTATCCTCGTAAACACAGTAATTTAGGTCTCTAGTGAAAGCAAACAGCTGAGAAAAAAAACACATGTGTAACAGTATATTGGATCCGGGCAGCTCTTAAAGCAAAACAGAGAAAATCTCTCAATGCTCTTCACTTTTGTAACTTTAATAAGAGGAAATATATTTTTAATTTACACAATGAAGAATATGCAATGTTTTTATACATTTGATTACTTTATACAATGTATGTAGCATTTCTTATTTGTTCTACTGTAGTTTTTTTGTACTATTGCTTGTAATTAGTTTCTCATTCTTATTTAATCACTGACTGTTTACTTGTCTTCAGTGAGCTTGAGTTGTTTTTTTTTTATTTAAGCTAGTATAAATTTTTTGTGATACTGACACTGGTGTCAAGAATTATGAAATTTCTATGGTATCAAAATGTTTTATATCATAAAGACCTTTTTTAAAGCAAAAAAATATATATATATATATATTGTGATATATATCGTTACCATGAAATAATATTAGTCATATCGTGATTTAAGATTTTGGTCATATCGCCCACCTCATGCTACTTATAGAAGCACGTTTCCGACACTGAATAAAAATAAATAAATAAAGGTAACTGCTACTTTATATCACAAATAAATTCAATTCACTCAGAACTGCCAGAAAAAAGTCAGAATTGCAAGAAATAAACTCTTAACTCAAAACTTTTCGCAATTCTGAGATTTCTGACAATTCTGTTTTTTGTTTCCACAACGGAAAAAAAACATTTAAAACGTAAACGCGACTCTTTAATCTCACACTGCACACTTTTTTTCAGAATTAAAAGATACAAAATTGGGAAATAAAAACTTGCAATAATGGGAAAAAAAACAAAAACAAAAAAAGAATTGCGGGATATAAATTCAGAATCTTGACTGACTTTGTGGTGGAAACAGCTTATACAACTATTAACCTAATGGATCAGTTCACCTAACATTGTTATTTATGCTTCCTCTCGTTGTTTCAAACCTAAATGCTATTATTTTTTCTGAGGAACAGAAAAAGCTTTTTTTTCCCCTATCAGTGATAGTTTGAAGTGATCACAGGCTGCAATTTGGAGTGCTAATAAAATATGGTGAACGTTTGATGCCATGATGTTTAGTCACAGAGAGTTTGATGTTACTGCCATCCAACAAGTCAAGTCAAGTCTGCTTTATTGTCAATTCTTCCACATGTACAGCACATGTGGAAGAACAAGTGCCACAGGTGCCATATTTGATTTGTAAACCATCAAGCTACAGTTTCAAAGTAGCTTCCCCAACTGCTGGAGAACTATAAGAGATACAAAGTCCAAGTTAAACACTGTGGACAACACAATGCAGTGACATTTAAAACAGCCGCACCGTCTGAATGGGTCCAGATGTGGAGAGTCGGGGTTTGGCCACAGTGTCTCTGGCCACCACCAGCTCCACTCGGTCTCTCTGTTGCTGGAGAAGAGCGATGGCCTGCTGCTGCGTCACGCTCTGATCCAGAGGAATCCCGTTAATCGCCAGAATCTGATCGTTCTCCTGCAATCTTCCATCCCTGGAGATAAGAAATATCATTATTATTATCCATGTGATTAATTTAATTTTAAATAAATAAATAAATATCATGCTAAAATGTTATTAATATTAACATTTTAGCTTCGTAAACAAATTCATAAATAGGTACAATAAATATCTGTCAACAAACATTTATTTTAAACAAACATTAACATTTATTTACAGTATGTATATTACAGTATATTACAATACAGTATACAATATATTACAGTATGTCCAAACAAAGAAACTGACCTAAAACAACGAAGATATTTGCAGAACGTGACGTGTACAGCAAAAGGGACGGATTTCTGAATAAAAAATTCAGAAAAAATTCGGTCTCACCTGTCTGCGACACTCCCTTGTTGCACCTGTCTGACGAACACACCGTGACTGCCGACCCCCTCTGGTCTCAGGCCGACCACACTGAAACCCAGACCTCCAGACAACGGCTTCTGCAGGCTGACGAGCTCTGTCTTTCTTCCCTGAGTTAAAAAAATCCAGTGAAGATGCATCATTCATACTAACTGTATAAACAACGCAAGCTGAACCAAAACATAGTAGAAATTATGTTCAATATTTGGCACATTAAATAAAACAATGTTTATCCAAAGAAAAATGACATCAAATACATCCCACCTTTGCCACTGCATGTATCCATCTCTGAAGCTGCTCAGAAGATGCGTTAGTTGAAGCTGTACCGTTGGACACCACGGATCCCAGGCTGCTGGACGGACGACTCGCACTGACGATCAGCTGACCCTTCCTGGAGAAACTGAACTCGGTGCATGTGTCCGGAGGCAAGCTGTTTAACTACGAAGTAGAGAGGACAAAGTCAATTCTAAAGCTATACAGAAAATAAAATATAATACTAATAATGGTCATTATTATTACTACAATTATAAGTGTGATTGATTAATAATAATAATAACTGAATGGATGTGTTAGACCAAATACTTAATTGTTTCATATTCATTATTTAGACCAGGGGTCACCAGACTCCGTCCTGGAGGGCCAGTGTCCTGCTGAGTTTAGTTCCAACCCTAATTAACACACCTGAACCAGCTAATCAAGGTCTTACTTGGTATACTTGAAACTTCTAGGCAGGTGTGTTGAGTCAAGTTATTTACACGACGGCATGTCATTTCGGTCTCTACGTTATGGTCGCGCTCTCTGCATCACGCACAGCGGAGTTCCGCCCTGCTCGCGCGCACACACACACATACACGCGCATACACAAGTGAGCACACTCCCACTAGTATTTGTAAATATTAAGCCAAAAAACGACTATTTAAATATGAATTTTGCGTGTCTCTGTGTTAATGAATGGCGCAGACGTGCAGTTTTGTTTACCACTGGTACTGAAAGCGCTTGACGCTTGCAGTGATTTTAGCTCCAGAACTCCAGAACTACTCTTTGAGTCACTTCATGAGCATTTGACCGTTTCATTTGAGTAAAACTATCCTCATATCATATACACAGAAATGTAAAGGTATTCACGGCAACCAGTCAAAATAAAAGTTTGGTTTTACTTGAAGGCATTACAGCACAAATATATTACTATTGTTCCGTAGAATGTATGTAATAGGCTGCTGCTACTACTACTACTAAAATTATTAAAACCTTATTTTTAAGGAATAATCATACAATATTTCTTCAGTGTTTTAATTGTAATATTAAATGACCTTTATTTTCCAAAAAATAACATTTGTTTAATTTTCATTACTTAAAAGATAGATTCAATGAATGTTTTATGCCTTAAAAATGTAAATACACAACACAGAATTTCTGAGCAAAAATCATAAGGCTATTGTAAGAATAAATAAAACTTGTTTTTATGCTTTCAAATAATTAGACATGCTAAAACAGAATTAACAATACAACATAAGGTTGGAAAAAATAAAACATTTCATAGGGCCCTAAACATGTATTTTTTGTTAAACTTTTAATAAATTGATGTTAAATTGTTTAAGTTTCATGATTTTAATTAATTAGACATGCTTTTTGATTAATAAAATTTAATTTAACCATTAAAAAGGAGTCCAGGAATTGTTTATCAACCCTTAACTCATTCAGCTTGTACAAATAATTTGGGATAAACCATGTGCTGTAAATCTAAAAGATAAAACAGCCCACAGAGAAACAGCCATGTCCTACAGGCAGAGGAAAGGAAGGAAAAAAATGAAAGGGAAAAAAAATCAATACATTCCTCTGCAGTATTCGCTAGTCCCCAGCAGGTAATGTATTAATGACCTTTAGACTCTTACTGTGGGAACTTATCAGTCTTGTGCTTATTTAGTCCGGGCTGACAGAGCAGGTTCCAGCCTATTTCATCGATACATCTCCGACAAGGCAGTTACTCAAACTCAGACAGTAGATATTAAGGCTTGATAGAAACTCCGGCTGTTGCCCGCCTCGACATACTTGATAGGTTTTTCACCTGATGCATTCATAGGCGCACGTCTGACCTTCCCAGCACTTAGAATATGAAGGCGAGCTTCCGTTATTGCCATTATCTTAATTTGGTGTGCGGATTGTTTATTGTAAAGAGGTTTCTTGTGTCAATAAAAACTCAGACTGAATACAAATAGGGATGAGGGTCTTTCAGCATCGCGAGTGTGTGGATAAGAAATACATGCTCACTGGCCTGCATACTGGGATGGGATGCAAACAAACAAGTTCATTTTTTTTTAAGTTATTTGGGTTTAAATAAATGACGCGATTTCTATGCTGATCTGGCATTATGAATACACATTAATATACTACGCTTTATCTGACCTTGGAGATTCTTTACCATTTTAATGCATTGAAACACAAATAGTGGATTTAACTTTCAACAAAATTCTACCATTATATGATCATTAGTTAATTAAAAAGGCTAGTAGTGAAAAAACGTATGTATATTATACATTTGTTTTTGTGTACAGTTGTAGAAACAACTACCCAGAACACCCTAGCAACAACTCAGGACTCTTCTGAAACCACAAAACACCCTAGAAATATGGCGTCAAGTATTTCCAATGCAACAATCGCTTTTTGTCTTCAGAAAAATGTAATAATCTAGTTTGATTTACAATAATTAATTAAAATAGTTAGAAATATCTTGATATTTTGATTATCATTTTCATATTTGAACATACTAGAATTACTGGTCTGTTAAGTATTATATTAATTCATATAAAAGGCTACTGTAAAGGTTTGCTGAGGCTTTCATATTTTTATTTGTATAGGCATTCATGGAATTATTTTTTTCCATTTACTCTATATATAGATATTTTAAAAATATATTAAATTACTACATGTTATAAGAGATGAACCAAACCAACCAGGCCTGAAATTAATTACATTACAAACTCATTTTGAAGGAAAATTATTATTATTATTTTTAAAGATTGGGGGGGGGGGGGTTAGT